GATCCATGTTTCAGAATATCAGTTGACTTCATTTGATTTCATTTTTGCAAATAATTACTTTCATTCTGATTTTTAAAGACAAACACAAATTCATTTTTTAGAATGTTGTGCCTTATTTTCAGAAAGATAAACGCATTCAAATTATAACAACAGGATAAAAAAATAAACTTTTAAGATATTATTGTTTGATAACTAAAGCAGACTGATCATCTGTGTTCTTCAGATTAGTTTGGTGTCGCACTGAAAAAAAAAAAAAATCTGAAAAGTGGTGTCAGTGTTTGAAGGTCAAGGTGAGCGTCATTTTGTGGAAATACTAGAATTATTAGTTTCTGTAATCTCAGTTTGGGAAATATACACATATAAAAAAATCTTAAATAAGTTGCCGGTTGTGCAATTACTGATGAAATTTGAATTACACTATGGACATACTGTTTTATATATATATATATATATATATATATATATATATATATATATATAACGTGTAAATTTCATTTTTCAATATCTATCTATCTATCTATGTTACGCATAAGTGTGTGTTCAGGTGCGCTGGAATGTGTGCCCACTCATCCGTGAGCATTTAAGGAAATAAATTTATGATATACGTTTATAGAATTATATCCGTAAAGAATCAGTTTATAAAGAAAATCACAGAATAGAAATTGAATGGATTCAACGTTCGTCTCATATAAAATATATAGTTGAAATGTTGCGTTAAGTGTATATATATATATATATATATATATATATATATATATATATATATATATATATATATATGTATGTATGTATAATGTAATTCATTTATTGCATTTCTTCCAGTGTGAGTATAAGTTATCTTACATCCGAACCAAATTTATGTCCAATCATATAATATTTGTAATGTTTTTATTCGAGAATTTGACAATTATCAGGAACATTAGTGTTATCTGAAGGAAAATATTTATTTTTATTAGCTCCATCTTGTTTTTCTTTTTTAGAAACGATAATTCAAATATACGATAGCAAATAGAAGTGACGTCATTTGTAGACCGGCTTGTAACTGTATGTAAGTGATATACATTTTAAATGTATATTTAAGAAATAGTCTGTTAGTGACTATTCACCTGAAATGGATTAATGAAAAAAAAAAGAAAGAAAATAAAATGTCTTTTTCTCTTGATTTTAATAAAACTTACCTGAATATATATATATATATATATATATATATATATATATATATATAGAGAGAGAGAGAGAGAGAGAGAGAGGAGAGAGAGAAAGAGGGAGAGGTAAGTTTTATTAAAATCGGCAGAAAATTGCCATATATATCTATTCCATAGCTACATGACTAATCCAATAACCATTAACTGACAACGAGACTATCGATACACTCACACACACACACATACACACACATATGGCAGAATATGATATATAACTTTTTATATGTCAGAACAACATTAGACAAACCAATGATAAAATGTTTTTCCACTTTGTCATTGATATATATACGCACATGCATATATATTTACCGTGTGCATTTCTGTAATTTAGTAATTATATGTTTGTGTTTTATATATATATATATATATATATATATATATATATATATATATATATATATATATATATATATGTGTGTGTGTGTGTGTGTGTGTATGTGTGTGTGTATGTACGTGTGTGTGTGTGTGTGTGAAATTGACTATAAGATTATTTTACCAAAATTAGTCAAACTAGGAAGTGTGAATCGCAATTTTCTCAAACTAAAATGTATCATATATATACATTATAAAAATCATAAAAATAGACACCGTCGCTTTAGTGAGAAAGACAAAGTGTGTGTTAGAAAAAAAGAGAGAAAGGAAGGAAGGAAGAGACGTTATTTTCACGATTTAGATCGAGAATATTTTATTTCAGCTTCGCCATAATTAACTATTCTTAATTTCCTTTGCTTCTCACTTGTGCCGACATGCCGGCTCAAGTTAACGCGGGAAAACCGGCATGTTTGGTTAACATGCGCGCGCACATTGGTATACTACTACCGAAAAATAGAACGATGTCTTTGTTGTAATTATACCACTACTACTGACAATAGGTTGTTACTTTTTCTTTACTGCATATTTAGAGTATAAAGGAATTAAAAAAAATGCTTCAGGAGATTTAGAAGTTTAAGATGTACCAACGAAAATATTTCGACAATTTACTGGTATAAAGATTTTGCACTGGAGATAATTATTCATATTTTTTAGTACAATAACTAACGCGTCATCGTTTTTACATGCACTGTATTCTATTTTGCATGTAGAAACATTTACTGTCTATAATAAACTTCACTAGATGACTATTTGTTTCTGGTTTCGAACCAACATAAATTATTTATATTAGCGACACATAAAGATTGGAGCAATGGTGCTCCGTTTTATACCAGAAGTCTCTAGAAAGTGTTGGTTAAATATGGTTAGTTTATTGAAAAGTTTGATTTCAAAAAGTAAAAAGAAAACTCAGTCATGTATTTTAAATCTCAACGGCACCGCCCTGATGTAGTTATTCAGTGAAAATCATTTACTTTTAGTACAATAACATATTTTTACATTTATATCTTACATTTATTTTATTTTACATGTAAACACACTTAAGTGTCTATAATAATTTTATCTAGACGACTATTTGTTTCTGATTTCGAAACAAATATCAATTGTTTGTATTAACGATTCATTAATTGTAGATTAATTTTAATCTTTTAGTTATTGCATCTTTTATAGGAAACCTGGTTATGTGAAATGCATAAGAAATGTGTTACTGTCTATCTCTGAATGCGAACTCGTTGTTATAGCCACAGCCATTATTCAAAATCAAGATTTTTAAATGCAGTAGGGAAATTTGGCCTAAAATTTGATCATATTTGTATGCAATGCAAATATGTTTAATAAAATTATTGGACCTAATACTGTCGCAAGTAATATATAACTTGTTAATATACGGAGTTAATTACTAAAACGAAGTCAACAGCTCGACTATATGTATGAAAATGAATTAAAGCCTTTAAATCAAGTCATGATTGTAATATACAGCATTTCTTTATTTTTACTATATTTTAAAGATATAAGACTGACTGAATTAAGTGGAATTTTAAAACGTTTTCTAAACTCGAACTTAAATATAGTAGTTGATAAGTAGTAATTAATCATTAGTTGCAACGATTTAGAGTCTACCATTCCATCAAAGTACTCTCTGATTTGAACCAAAGACAATTGGTCTAAAAACAAAAGCATTTATGAACAAAATAGCCAAAATATCATCTAAATTAAATATCAAAATGAAAATTTTTAGATACCTAGAATATTTAAGAGTTAAAAAATGCAAAAAACTGATTATGAGAAGCAAATTTTGTGAATTTCTTTCTCATGTTTGCATGCATGTATCTAAACTTGCAGTGTATCCGATTTTGTATCAACTTCATTGCTGTATGAGCCGTTGATCATTGATTGATTGACTGGAGAATTTAACTTTGCACATGGCGTCTCACAGAGAGAGTCGTCGAAGCGCGCGAAATAGAAGCCGGCTACAATGCTTCTTGGGTGGTAGTAGTAGTCGTTGTCACCGGCACAAAAATGCCGGCTAGCATAAATGTGTATATACATGGGTGTGCGTGTGCCCACGTGTGCGTGTGAATGCGTAAGAGAAGTGTCACCGATTTGGAATTACGAATATCTCCATTTTATTTTTATTTTTTTTGAAGACGTCTGAAATGCAATTTTAAAGTCTGAATCATAATGCATTCTTCAACAGCTATGATATTTTCAGCTTTCATTTCCGTTTTAACTCGGCCTAATTTTTTATTAACATTTTGGGCTATTGAGATAGAAATTATAATCGTATCTCTATCTCAGAATACTTGCTTCAAATAAAAACATAAACTGTATCTTACAAAACTGTCTCAATTTTGATGTGGATTTTTATTCATTGTTTTTTCTTATGTCTGTGTGTGTTTGTTTCGTGAGTGTAATAATCTGTGTGTGTTGTGTATGTGTGTTCGTGAGCCATTCTCTCAGTATCTCTCAGTGTAACAACTAAGTCAGCTTGACTTTTTATCCGCAGGCCTTGTAAATAAATATAATATATTTGAGAGGGATCTATCTATCTATCTATATATCTATCTATCTATAGTTAAATGTAGTGTATGTCTTTAAAAAAATAGGACAATCAGTCCGATGCACAATAACGTAAAAATCTACATTCTTAGATTTTTAAATGAAATGTATTTCCTTTCCTTCCCGGCTGCCTCTCACCCTCGAGTAAACGACTGTATGTCTACAATCGACATTTGTATAAAAAAAGGAATTATTTATTTGAAAGGATATCAAAGATTAATTTTACAAACTGAGATGAAATCAACCGTGAACATTTTTTTTAATTACAAAACCAATTATATAAATAATAAAAGGTGTGCGTATATTTATAATTATTTGCATCCACACATAAGGATGCTCATATAAAGAGAGAAATATATGCATTTAAATTTATATACCCTACATGCAAGCCCCTAGTCACTTGCTGACGGGCCGCCGATGGCATTGCCAGCGGTCCTCTGGTGGCTGCTACCGGCAAGACACTGGCGGGTCAGCGGTGGTCCCCTAGCGGTCAGCAAGTGGTAATATTGCCGAGAGAACACGGCAGTGGGCCATCAGCGGTAAACGCTAGTGGCATGCCACCCAGTGGCAGATTGGTGGCTTGCATGTAGGGATCCACGTATATAGCAGCATGATATCATATCAAAGTGATCTCACATGCTTGTTTTTGACTGTATCAACATGCATATATTTATACACGCTCGCACGCACGGACACACATACACACACACATATGCGTACATATGTACACATACCCAGCCATATAAAATGTTGTTCCTTTACTGAAAATGCCCGAATCCCTAAAAATGCTTTAGCAATTTTGTGAATTTTTATATATCACATGATTTGCATGCACTTGCATACATATTTGAATTTGACTATATGTAAATGTATCTACATACATATACGCAGATTCTATCTATCTATCTATCTATCTATCTATCTATCTATCTATCTATCTATCTATCTATCTATCAACTTATGTATGCAAAATGGCCACTGTGTTTAAGCATTTAAAGTTTATAATAAAATCTATGCACCCATCTAAACAGCTAAATCATTGACTTACATGTGTATTCATATGGGTTTATATTTGCATACAGACTTGTATGTATTATTTGAATGTGCGAATGACTGCCATTTTCATCGACATTTATATAAATTTCCTAAGTGAATATATTGTAAAGTTTCTAGAAGCGCACTATTTTTTTTCAGTATTTTTGTCTCTGTTTTTATGTCTATGTAAGTGTTTGTACATTTACGCGCAACCTTGTCTTTTTGCGTTTCAGTGTGACTTGTAAAATATTGAGTATATTCGTTTGTATATTGCATCATTGCATTTGTGTAGGAAACTGATGTGTATGCATGCGTGTGTGAAACTAATGTGCATGTGTGCCCATTATTAGCTATGTTTCCATATATGTATATCTGTGTGAAATTAATTATAATGAATTAGCTATAATACAATGCATTTGTTTATTTAGTTTGTATATTTGTAAAACAGAAAAGAAACAAAATGTATCAGTTAAAACATGTTCCTGAAAAGTGGTTTTACTCTTATAAACAATATAGATTTTGCAGAAACATTTTTCTATTTATTCTTATGCTGCCTATATACAATTAGAAACGCTTTTCTCTTTTCATATACTGAGAATACAACAAAATGAATAAAACAAACTTAAGAATTAAGACAGCTTCTCTCTCTCTCTCTCTCTCTCTGTATGTCTGTCAGTCTAGCTAGTTAATATAGTTTTATGGGTTTTAAAGCAAAGATCCCTATTGTACTCAGTTACAAATGCTTTGTTAAATATATATATATCAAACTTCTTGTAGAGGTTCCTGTTTTTTTTACGACTTGCCTATATGTGAGTCAGTGAGGGGAAATCGGGAGCACATTTGCTCCCTTATCCTTGGTCATCTTTTACTTTTTAACGAGTATAAATGTAAATGATCATTCTTGTTCGTGTGCGTGTGTGTGACCCGACTTTCATCAGCACATGTCTGTGTGTATGAATATGTGCGTGTACATTTAACATTCGTTATGCATTTATCTGTGAATGCATACAAGCAAACATTTGTGGGAATATATGTGTAAGTTTTCCAATGAGTTTGATCAGGGGTTTTCTAGTTTTCAATTTTCTCTTCTGCGTTCACCCCACCTTTTTGGCTCTCCTCGTTTTCACTTCATAACCACTGACTACATTAAAATCATCATCATCATCATCATCATCATCATCATCATCATCATCATCATCACTAAATTACTCTTTAATTTTTCTTTCCTTTCTTTATTTTTTATTTTCTTTCTTGCTTTCTCTTTCGTCCACTATTCTTTTCCACCCCCACCTCAAGCCAATATCCTTCAATAATTCTCTCCTTAATTTATTTTTGTTTTTTATCTTCTTCACTGAAACCCTGCCCTGACTCTTTTGGCACTCCCTCCCTCACATCATATCTTTCTCCTCCCCACCAAGCTTCGTCACATCAGATCCCCGCCACATCCAACTTCGCTTTAGACCCATCCCCCCACCACTACATAACTTCTTTCCACTCACCTCCTTCTAACCCTCTCAACTCACAAAGCCTGGGAATGAAGACCATCCGGGCTGCCTTTCTCTTTCCACGAGGATGGAAACTACCAAATATGGCAATAGAAATGTTCGTTCTGACTGTGACGACTGTCGTCACCACCACCACTACCAACACTACCACCACCACCACCACCACCACCGCCGCCGCCGCTGCTGTAATCTCCAATCGCCGACACTCCCACTACTGCTACTGATGTTATTGGTGTAGTGGTTGTAATGGTGGTTGATGTGTTGGGTGGTGGTGGTATGCTATTGGAGACGGTGGCTGGCTGGCTGGCTGGCTGGCTATACTATTTGTAGTGTTCGGGTCAGTGATGTCCCAGTGCCACCTTGCTGCTTGCTACAAGGTCTCTGTTTCCATCTTCATAAGCTTCCGTTTCTTCGTGTCTTTTTTCTAGTGGGTGTGGGGTGCTTGTTAATGAAACACACACACGAACAAAAATGTATACTTGCCGAGACGAACACATTAATTCTCGTCAACACACTGACAAATAAAGTAACAAATACTCTTTCTCTCTCACACTCACAAAACGCTAACATAAAAAAACCCTCATATTCACGTATACACACGCACATATATGAATATCTGTGTGTGTGTGTGTGCACATGCGCATGCGGATAAGGACTTGCTGCCTCCAATCAAGTTCGATGAAAAAGAACCGAGAAGGTCTGGCTGTTTAATTTTTAATTGGAAAAATCCAATAAAAAAATAAAAAATGAAATTCATAGACCTTGACGGTTCTTTTTTACTCAAACTTGTTTGTGTGCGCCAAAGGTGCTTAACCTCCTAGCAAACAAAACTTCAATAACTACCCCCAGAAATCGGAAGTGGAGTAAGTGCCACACACACACACACACACACACACACACACACACACACACACACACACACACACACACACACACACACACAATAGAGAAATGCAAATGACTGTTCTTTTTGTGCTATAGACCCTAAAATTAGACTCAATTATAACATATCCCATTGACGTGATCGAGTCAAGTTACTAGAAATATACAACGCATGTTATAAAACGCAGCTGATCGGTTAATTAATCTTATAACACTGAGATTGGTGGGTTGCTGTGTTGAACTTTTGTCCATCATAGCCTCTGAGAGAGTAAGTGAGGATTATTTTGGCTTTCCTTTCTTTTATCCTGTAACGAAAGGATACAGTCTCGTTGGCTTAACTGTTCGGCAATCATCGCAGCATGCTAATTATAAAAATCTTTTTCAAAATACGAAGGCTGAAGGGGCAGAGCGCAGGGCAAGTTAATATTTTTCCAAGGGTGAAGTGGACACAAGAAAACTCAGTCGAAATTCGAACTCGATCTGCTAATTTTGCATTCTGTATTAACAACTGCTCTACAATAAGAGAAAGTTGAAATTTTTTGGGTACATATTGAGAAAAAAGGTTGGAAAATGTGACACTCACAGGACATAGAAAACTACTTGACGAGCTTGTGTAAATGGTTTCGTAGAACAGGGTTTAGGAGACAGAGCAAAAAGAGTTAAAGTTTATTAAGAGATACAAAGGGCAGGAAATTGTTGAGAGTCATGAACGCCCCGAAGAGACATGCCACTTCATATTGGTGCAATCATGTATCTATCCAAATGTTCGAATACAGAAATCAGGTTGGAGAAGAGAATACCCTTACACGCAAGCCCCTAGTGGTAACACTGCGGCGGTCCGACTGCGGCTCACCAGCGGTAAACGCTGGTGGTATGCTACGGGGGCTTGCGTTTTGGGAACAGAGTTTCCGAAACATAAGTTAATTGGAAACATTCTTGTTAAATATGTATAGACAATATAATATGTAAACATTAACTCTAAACAATATATATATATATATATATATATATATATTATTTAAAACTCACGATATATATATATATATATATATATATATATATATATATATATATATTGGTTTGAAAAGCTCACGATATATATATATATATATATATATATATATATATATATATATATATATATATATATATATATATAATTTGATATATATATATATATATATATATATCGTGAGCTCTTCAAACCTATATATATATATATTAGTTTGAAGAGCTCACGATATATATATATATATATCGTGAATATCAAACCTATATATATATTAGTTTGAAAGAGCTCACGATATATATATATATATATATATATATATATATATATATATATATATATATATATATATGTGTGTGTGTGTGTTTTGTGTGTGTGTGTATAAACAAAAGTGATGGAAACACAAAAAAATTGAAAAAAAAAGAATCTAAATGACACCGGATAGATTTTATACCCAAAACACACTTATAAAATAAAATAAAAAAATATCTTTAAATTTAAAATTTTCAGCGTCCTCTCTCCTTCGTGCGCATGTGTAGTTGCATCAATGTAAACATCACTTTAGTCTGATGAAGTCCTAAAAGACGAAACACGTCACACGAAAACTTTTACACTTTGTCATACATCTTTCCCTTAAAATTGTTCTTGATATATAAAAATGTATATGTCGTTATATATATATATATATATATATATATATATATATATATATATATATATATATATCAGTAAAAATAACAAATTTTATGCCAAAGCGTTTTGTTTCTCGAGGAACTTTATCAAAGCAAGTGTAGAAATTTTATTTTGGAACCTGAAAAAAAAAAAAAGTTATTTTTTCTCCCAGTTACTTATTTTTAGTATAAATACTGATCCCTAAATAAAATGTCTACATTTGCATTGATAAAGTTCTTTAAAAAACAAAATGCGTTTTCCTTTTGTCATTTAAAAAAAAAATATTGTCTTTACAGATACATTTATTTATTTCCGACCTTTTTACATACATGTTGGTTCTTCTTCTCATAAGTTCCTATAAAATTTCATGTGAAAACAATTTCAGTGTCGTTTATATCTAGTGAAAATATCTTCAGAAATATAAACTCGAATATATTACTTGCATGTAAATGTTTCCATCGGAAAACCAGTTTTAACATCTTAAATCTTCAGTTCTCAAAAGGAGCACTGAAAACCTTTGCACATTTTCGACAAAAGTGCATACATGTAAAATCCCACCTGTTGAGGCTGAACTTGTTGGATTAAACAACAGTGAGTTACTTCAGTTTCATTAGTCGGGGTTCGAATATAAGAAGAAGCCTAAATTTCGAATATTACTTCTTAAAGACGTTTCTTATTACATGGGAGATTAGGACAGTCTAATATTAGGAAGCACATTCGTGTTGTTGTAAAATCTGTGGTACCTATATGCTATCTACTGCACCATTATTCTGTTTAATTAATGAATGCATGCAGATATGTATGTGATATAAACAGACAGCAAACACATTTAAGGATATGTGCATTTATATAAGCAAGTACATGTATAGATGTGACTATAATTATGATATAGAAATATAGAATACATGTATCCACGTCTATCCGTTTTGCAACGAATTCAGATTCAATCAGATGTGTGCGTAAATAAATCTTTTGAAACAGAAAAATATGCAGTTACATATATGCATCTGGAATCATATGAATAATAATTATGCTCGCGAAACATATAGAGTTGCATAGATATATTCCATCATATGTGAACATGCTTTTTTACAAAATGCATCTCCCTCTCTTTCTCATATATATATATATATATATATATATATATATATATATATATTATTGATATGTATGTATGTATGTATGTATGTATAAAACGGGAAAATAAACTAACAACATCAAAATCACCGCTGGAAAAACTAAATAAAAATGTCCATCATATTTAACGAAAGTTGCTGCCCAAATATACATTAATGTATGAATGTATTTATGTATATATGTATAAAGATCGCATTGAGGCGTGAAACTGACAGTCACCATACAGTGTTGATTCCTATGCTCACGGTCAACATTTATAAATGCTCCAATAGTAGGCACTCTTCAAGTATAAATATAGCTGGTTTTACTCTCTCTCCATCTATCTATCTATCTATCTATCTATCTATCTATCTATCTATCTATCTATTTGTCTTTGTCCCTTTCTGTGTGTATCTATTTCTCTCTCTCTCTCTCTGTGTTTGTGTCTATTTCTACCTCTGTTTTTCGCTCTCTCGGTGTATGTATCATTGGAAATATAATTTTGGTAAAAGGCCACAATTGTGAAATAGCCATTTAAGTCCAGCCCCACCAACAATGGCATACAAGATTGCTAATTACGACTAAAGTAGAAAGTACACACACACACACACACACACACACACACACACACACACACACACACACACACACACATATTTAATATTTAAATATTGGTAGAAAACTTTTAGTATTATTACGTGAGTGAGTTCCATACCCACTGGAGATACCACAGTTGTAGCCTTGTACCAGTCAAATGTAACATTAGTAAATAACTAAACCTCCTCACACACGTATAAATTAACATTTTGTAGATATATACATACAAAGACAAGCAGTTATATTGTTTAATTACGAGCTAGCAGTTCTTAATTGCTTGCACAGTGGGATAGGATAGTTATAAAGAAATGTTAATCATGATTTTTAGATAGAAAGAATGAAAGACAAAATAAATAAGGATGTAAAAACGATTTAAAAAAAATAGTAACATTAAAAAAAAACTTAAGGTGTAAAGCGGGGGTTGGGTGGGGGGGATTTTCTGAGTTATTGGCAGAACGTAGAAATCATTAGAGAGCAGAGGATGAATAAGAGGAAGGTGAAGAGTAAGGAGAATGAAAAGAATTTGAAGAAAGTAAGAGAAAAGTAACAAACACACCAAGACATGTACGAAACATGCATACTCGTACATACACACAGACCTATTGACACACGCTCAAATGAAAATCAATAATCGAGATGCATATAGATTCAGGTACTCACATGTACAAACTGGACATGATTTGTTAGACACCCATATAGCCCAAATCTTTCTATATGCGTAACGTACACTTTCCGCTTCTTTCTATTTTTTTCTTTCTTTGATGATGATGATGATGATGATAATGATATGAAAACTACCCGCAAGACTCTTTCATTGCGAACACATACACATTATACAATCAACTTTAACCGCACGAATATATGTATATATTGCTACTTGATACATACACACGTGTCCGCACACCTAACTATACAGAAGCATGCAAAAAATGCAATGTATCAGCATATGAATCTAAAAATGCTCATCTTTATGTAGAAATGCGCAATTAAAGACTTATACTATACACAATTGACGTAGTGTACACCAAGTGTTTGTAATATGTTATTACATATTCGCATGTATTTACGAATAAATATAACCCCAATTGATTAGCACCAATCAAGCTTCAAAATAAGTTAAGAACTTTCTTTCTTTCTTTCTTTTTGATGCCTGACCAGGTAATTATAGGAGAATGGTTTGTACATATACACACTCATCCATTCTTTTTATCTTTTTTATCTGCTAGTCATTGTGACGTGCAAGACGAAGGGAAGAGACACGGCGAAAACTGGATTCATGCCTTTCTCAAGGGCGTCAGTATGAACGAAACAGACTAGGTCGAAATTTGAACAAGGCTGACCGATTACATTTTTCATGCAAATAACCATTATATTAACTTGCCTAATAAATATAGTGATTTACTAAGCATAGTTAACATATGACACAAGGCTGTAAGTTTGGAGCACCTAGTGACGATTAAACTCACTACTCAGTCTAAACGAGAAAAGGGTGCCAACCATTACATCACGTCGATGTACCCGTAAATATAATCAGATAATCGTATATAGATGTCACCTAAATACATATGTACACTATTCACAAGCCCACATATCATATTCATGATAAATATAAAGCCATATATGAATTGTTTATTTTGAAACAGATCCTTCCTCAAAAAATATATATGCAATTAATACACACTACCACAACGTAAACATTTGCGCCCAAATTGTTACTGATTATGGTTAATTGACCAACATCACCAAACAAGATTACATCGGTACATGTCCACGAGTATTTTCATTCTGTAGAAAAAGAAAAAACAAACCAATTGATACATTAACGTATAAGGATCTGCACAGAAGCGGCTTTACACAGAAGCAAATACTTTATATCCTCAAATATAAATCTATTCAATTACAATATATAAAAATATATTGTAAGTGTATTCCCAAACCCACATCACAGTATTTGTATACTTTGACGTACAGACGCCTAAACATACAAAAGGTCTGTATCAGGACTGGTACCAGAAAAAGAAAACTTCAATACATATCAATTCGGCATTTAATCTTCTTCGATGTAATCTTCTGTAGCCGCAAACTTTATCTTGCATCGTTTCCATTGAAGTAAGCATTCCTGGAATTCTAATTTTAGGATAGCAAACAGCTGCCTCGTTGCATTCTCTTGGATCTTCTACGATGTCCTGAAATATTGCTGCATTCAAGTGGGATTTTGAAGAGGAAAAAGTCGTAAGGGACGAGATCTGGGAATATGATGGTTTTCGGATCTGGGAATATGGTGGTTTTCGGATCTGGGAATATGGTGGTTTTCGGATCTGGGAAATGTTGTGCTTAATAAAATAATGCTGCACAATAAGCCATGTTCACTGATGGAAACTTTGTGGTTCGCTGAGGCGACCACACTCTACACACTTTCTTTCCAAGTTGAGCACTAATCAGTGTGTAGTGTATCATTGCTAAGCAGACCTAGCGGAGTCTATCACTCACCAGGCCAAATTCCACCTGATATCCTCCAACCTGTAGGCTCGATTTGGTCATGGACATTCCATCGGGTAACTTTATGTATTGGCTGTTAACTTCAGTCTAGGTATTGTTTCATATACAATTTTACATATGGGACTAGTTAAGACTTCATTGAGAAATTATTGTATTACAGTGAAGTGGCTGTGTTGATGATACCAGGAGAATTCATTGCTTTACATTTTATTCTCTCCAA